CTGAGAACTTCTTCTCACTAGATGAACTATGAAGTCAGGAAGCTGGTGAATGTCTACAGAAACACAAAGTAGAAAACAGATCTGGTCCCATTCCTTCCTAAAACATTGAATGCCAACTCATCGTAAGAGCTCAGATATGTCCTATGGGCCACGTTGTTTGAACCTCAGCACAGCAATGTTATCCAAAAAGCCCACTGGGCCTCCACCTCTCCATATCAGTATTCTGTCTTCAGCTGAAGTTTCAGTGAATACTTACTGAGCACCCACTGCAATCAGAGCACTGTTTTAACTGCTAGGAATTGTAAAGAAAACAGTGGTACCTGGTTCTGCAGAAGCTCATTCATTCTCCAAGTTAACAAATATTTATTAAATTCTCACTTTGCGCCAGGCACTAAGGAAACAGCAGTGAACACAGTAGATTAAAGCCCTGCCTTCTGGTGCACATAATGTTGGGAGATAGAGATAGATAATAAACAAAAAACTAAGTAAATTAAATAGTATGTCAGTTGATAATAAGCAATATGGAGAAAATACAATAGAGAGAGGGAGTGCCTGAATGGAGGTGAGTAATTCACAACAGCCAGGATGCTGACTGCAGACACAGTGAGCCTGCCTCAGCGCCACCATGGTGGGTGGGGAAGGGAAAAAGGGAGCCTTCAGCAGAGGCTGGGGTAGTCCACCTGGCCAAGGAGCAAATGGGAAAAACCAAAGAGACTCAGGAATTCGCAGCCCATGACAGCCATGGAGAGTGCTCCTGGAAGCATCATCTGAGTGAAAGAAAGAAGCCACCTCTTCACCAACCACAGGCCCCTGCCTCCAAGGCTAGCAGAGCCACTGGTGACCATGCAGGAAGGGGACATGGAACTGAAGTCTAGCAAATGCCAGCCCCTCACACCCCAGGAGCCAGCATGAAGCTTCATAAGGACCTCTCCCTCTAGCTTTAAGCCACTGACCCCTCTCCCCATACACCTGGGCCACCTTGGGGAAAGGCGTGAAGTCTGAGAGAACTGAACACTGCCCAGAGGGGCTGCTTAACTGGTCTGCCTGGACCATGCCTTACCCGGGCTAGAGCATTCATTTCTCTTGTTGAGAGCACAGGGGAAAATCAAATCAACTATAAATGAAGAAATTACATTTTCTCTGCCTAGGGGGAGGAGACAGGGAGGAAGAAAAAGTGGAAACCGTGAGTACAGAAACAATTTTGATGAGTTTTGCATGAAAATGATCCAGAAGAGAAAAACTGATGACAAGAGAGAGAGAGAACTGAGGTAGTGATATCTGGAGGAGAAAGGAGCACTTAAGGGGCAGAGCTGACTTCAACTGCAAGCAGCACCAACTGTCCCAGGGGAGCATGAGCGGAGGTGGGGGTGTGGTAGTCATCTTCAGAGAAACAGGGTGCAAGGAAACCACCCAAAAGAGGTGGTGGGGGGTGTTGGGTCTAAGGAGACAGGAGAGGGTATAAACCAGTAGCCTGGCGGTGGGAGAGTGAATGAGGTCAGGTGAGAGCTGGGAGGGCGGGGGGAACGAAGCACCCTGCTAGAGGTTGTGCTTTCAAGCGAAACAACACCATGTGGGAGCCCGCAAGGAGTGGGCAGGGAATTGGGCCTCACCAGGGCTGTGGTGCTCTTGGCGGACGGACGAGGCTGACAATGGAGAAAACAGCAACGGAGTCAAGGGCGTCTGTGTGGGCGTGATGGCGACTGCCCGTGGAATTTCCGTTGGGTAAAGGAAGAAAAGTGAAGACATGGGGCAGGCAAGGGACCGGGAAAAGGAAGGAGGAGCCACCGATGGAGGTCGCAGTGGGTTGAAGGATTACCGGAACTGAGGTGCTAGGGGAAGAGAGCTAAAAAGAGAGTGGGCGGAGGTCGGAAAGAGGGCTGACTGAAGTGGAGGTGGAGGAAGGCTGGCAGGCCCTGGCAGCCGTGAGGTGTAAGGTCCGTTGACAGGCGCGGCTGAGATCGGGTGGAGAGCAAGGTCCTAGGTGGAAAGGAGGTCAACAAACTAGAGGCCAAGGCATTCCAAGACTCGCCATGGGTGTGAACGGCCGCAGATGCAGTGCTTGAAAGAGAGCGCAGGCACCTGGTCCTCAGGGACTGCAGATGACCACGGGGGAAAGCGCTGGGGAGGGTTGGGGTCTGATGAAGTCGCACTCAAAGCTAGGTTTTAGGACCGCTGGAAGCAGCAGCGATGAGGAAGGCGACAGGTGTCCCTCCTCCAAACTCACAGTCTGCATGTGAGAGAGAACTGCAGGAGAAGCTTGTCCCTAGGCAAAGCTAGGTGTCAGGTCCAGAAAAGAGGTTGAGGATTTAAACCACTGAGGGGGTGGAGCTAGGCAGTGAGTGGGACGTCGGTCTTGCAAGCTCTGGGATTAGGCCGACCAGAGCCCACATTCCAGTCCCGCCTCTTCCTGCCTGTTTGATCTCAAGCGAGACCCGCTTTGTTCATGGGCGAAAGGAGGGCCATGAGGATTAAATGGAGAGCACAGGGCCAGATCCATCTAAATTCTCAGTGTTAGCTATTGTTATTAAGATCACACTGAACAGACTCTTACATCCGTTTTAGCCCCTTTCCCCAATTTTCGTTCTTTCTGGTGTTGACAGTCTAGTTTTTTAAGTTTATGAAACATATTGTACATAAGAACGACATATCACATGTGAAAGCACTCTAGTGTCCACGTAAATATTTGTCTTGTTCTTTATAATAAATAAATATGCTCACGGATCCTTGAAATTATCTGGTCATGGCCGGGCACGGTGGCTCACGCCTGTAATCCCAGCACTTTGGGAGGTCGAGGAGGGTGGATCACCTGGGGTGAGGAGTTCGAGACCAGGCTGGCCAACATGGCGAAACCCC